CCTTGAGGAATTCCATTCTGGACATGAGTTTTATTTGATTTGAAGTTATCGATATAAACATATTGAGAACGCAAGGAGAGATAGCTCTCCAACCAATTGAAAGCGATTCCCCTCACACCATACCACTCAAGTTTTTTTAGGAGTATGCTGTGGTCAATTACATCAAATGCTTTTGAAAGATCCAGAAATAGGCCAACAGATAGTTTTTTGCTATTCATACCGTTTATGACATGTTGGGTAAAGTCTAGGATAGCAAGCTCCGTTGAATGCTTGGCCCGGAAGCCGTATTGGCTGTTACATATAATGCTGTTGAGATTGAAGAAAGAATTTAATCTGATGTACATTATATTTTCCAGAATCTTGGATAAAGGAGACAACAGAGATATGGGTCTGTAGTTATTTATATCATCTAGGGATCCTTTTTTGTGGATAGGAATAATTCTGGATATTTTGAAGGTATCTGGAAAAATTCCCGTTGATAATGATAAATTGAAGATGTGGATTAAAGGTAAAGTTATGGAATGGATTATGTTTTTTATTAGGTACATGTTAAGGCCATCATCGGAGTAACTGTTTTTGTTTTTCATTTTACGGACAATAGATAGTAATTCGCGTTCAGATACAGGGTTAAGAGATATGGATTGAGTTATAGTAGGACCCAAGAGTTTCATGGGGTCAGCCTTACCCGGTAGGAGATTGAAAGAATGTTTGATTGAAACGTTTGCAAAGTGTTCGTTCAGACGGTCGCAAATCTCCTGTTTGTTGTCAACTGTTTTGTTGCTTACAGTGAGTTTGGATATGGATGAGTTGGGCGGTTTTTTGTTTAGTGCACATCTTATCAAATTCCATTTGGCCTTGATGTCGTTGGGAGAATTACTGAGTTTATTTGTGTAATATTCTCGTTCTGTTTTTCTTTTAATGGTTGTAAACATGTTGCAGAATTTTTTGTACTCAGAAATATTGTTTGGAGTAGGATTACGGAGGCTTTTAATGAAGAGCTTGTTTTTTTTATTGGATAGTTTTTTAATATGTGTGTTGACCCAGCTTTTGTTTTTTGGTTTAACAGGTAAAAATGGAGCAAATGTATTTATCGCTTTATTGAGTATGGCATATAGCTGTGATAAGGAATCATTAACATTGTCTATCGTGATCACTGACGTCCAGTCTTGAGCAGATAACGAAGGGTTTATGTCATATAAAGATTTTGGAGTCAGAAGTCTGGAGTATTTTTGTGGTGCAGAATAATTAAGTTTATTGAGGTTAGATGCGATGGTAAAAATAGGAAAATGGTCGGAGAAGTCAGATAAGACTGTTCCAGAAAAATGAGTAGTAATATTATTTGTGTAGATATTGTCAATTAACGAGGAAGAGGAAGACGTAATGCGTGTG